GCTGTTCTTCTTCTTCCAGTGGACCCATCAGGTCGTGTGACTCACTCTCTGCCAGCTCTCACAAAGGATTCGTCGGCCGTGCTCGCTGAGTCTCTCCGTGACGATCCTTGCCCTTTGTGGTCACGCGAAATGCCACTCGCGAGCCGGCAGCAAACCCTCTATGGCTCAGCGGCAATTCTCCGGTCGATTAGCCATGAGCGTTTATTTATATACCGAGTGCAGGGCAGAACAAAACAATGCAACATTGCAGGCAGCTTAACAGGTCCCTGCAGGGTGGGCTGGAATTTTGCTCAATTTTATGACATTGTTACGTAAAATTGAGCAAATTGAGAGCGTCTTCCCACCTTTTTGCCCTCAAGATCGTTGAGGGTTCTTCGGACAATTTTACCTCTGTAGAGGAATGGAATGGTGAAATCCTTATTGACTGAAATCTGCTCATTTTGGAGCAATGTATCATAAAATCGTTAAGGGCTGGGCCGAAAAATTACAACAATTGCATTTTAAAATGAGGAATTGTTTCCCGGTATACGGTAGTATGGGGCTTTTGAAAGGGGACGGACGGACGGACAAATTAATCTATTGCAGGATGGTACACTCAGTTTACAACTTCGTTCCTACCAGTAAAAAAAAAACTATACTTGAGCTTTGCAAAAGTCATAGAATAGCAGACGTTCACCAAAAATATATAACACTACTTCAAGTGTACGTACCCCGGGGTACCATACAATGTCCGTGATGCAGTCACTTCGAGTCTGATGATGGTGGTGGGCGACGCGGCAATCTACTCGTGTGGACGAGCTGTGCACGACGACGACGATGATGACGACGATGATGATGATGACGATGATGATGATGACGACGATGCACCACCACCACCATGGTGGTGCGTGCCGCGAGCGTTCAGGGTCTCAGCGCAGTCATTGTCCTCGCTGCGTGTCGACATCGCCGAGTGTGGCACCGATGTCGGACCCATTGGTTACCCCCCCAGTCGCGGAGCTGAGTACACCCCTGGACAAAAATTAGTGTCCCAGAAATAAAGTATTTAATTGCCTCGGTCATTTAGTATCATTTGTTACCTCAGGGTACCGCCATAAGGATCATATAATTGTTAATCTGGAGGTAGTAATTAAAACGTCTGGTTGCTTGGGGTGGCACTCTCGTCTGTTGAAACTGTAAATCGGTGGTAGAGTCCATCCATGCGACAACCTCTGTTGACTTCTAAAACAGGGGAACTCCTTTCATTGATCCTGGATTTGAACTTACAGAATTCTGATTGTATGGCATGTTCTTAGTCACATTACAGTATTATAACTCGCCTTTAGCCCGCCCTCGGACAGTGGTATTGCAGTAAATCTGAAACTTGCAAGCGAAAATCAGACCGCGACGTGATATTCACTGCATCAATGCGTGTGCACTTTGTAAGGGCGCGGTGAGACTTATTTAATTTTAAGGTTATAATCCCTTGTTCATCATGACGTCATTTTTACTTTGATGTCTCAACAACAGCGTTACGGAGATCACGTGACGTGATGAGGGTTCTGCCTTTGGAGTGAGGGTTGTGAGTTGACGCCGAGGAGGGGGGAGGAGGCGCCTCGCCCCTCCCCCATGTGGAGTGACGTCAGCCGCTAATTATTATGAATGGGGGGATGGTGTCCATGTGGAGGACGTCACCTTATAATTATTAATGAGGGGGGCTGTTCGATGTGGAGTGACGTCACCTGCTCATGATTTTTAATGAGGGGGGAGGGTGCTCCATGTGAAGTAGCTTCACCTGCTCATTATTATTAATGAGGGGGGGTCCATGTAGAGTAAGTGACGTCACTCCACGTCGGCCAGCCCCCTTCATTAATAATCATGAACAGGTGACGTCCTCCACATGGACCCCCCCTCATCAATAATCATGAGCGGGTGACGTCACTCCACATGTAGCACCACCCACCGTTAATGATAATTAGCGGCTGACGTCACTCCACATGGGGGGGCGATACGCCTTCTCCCCCCTCCTCGGCGTCAACTTACAACCCTCACTTAAAAGGGGCCGTCCATAAATGACGTCACGCACCTGGGGGGGGTGGGGGGTCAGACATTTGTGACGATGTGTGACGAGGGGGGGGGTTATTTTTTAATTTAAAGCTTTTGTGACTGCATGTATTCATATTCTTGGTTCTTTCGGTAAAGTCACGTAGAAGGGAAACAATAAAATATTTTTTTTATTTGTAATCTTTTTATTATTTTATTGTTTCCCTTCTACGTGACTTTACCGAAAGAACCAATAATATGAGGGGGGGGGGGGGGGGTTGAGAAATGTGACGTCACATCAAAATGCGCAACTTTAAATAAATATAGAATTGTTATAACAACACTAATTGTTATAACAACACTCCTACAGAATCAGAGTGCAGCGCCATATTAAATACGTACTGCAATGACAATAGTTTAAAGCGATTTGAAGCATGTTTTATTTTCATAATGGAAATATGGTTTTGGGGGGGGGGGCAGAGCTTTGTGACGTCATATTTGAGGGGGGGGGTCTGACTTTTTGTGGCGCCGTGTGACGAGGGGGGGGGGTCAAAAATCGTCCAAAATCGCGTGACGTCATTTATGGACGGCCCCAAAGGCAGAAACCTCACGTCACGCGATCTCCGTCACGCTATTGAGACATCAAAGTAAAAAGGACGTCGTGATGAATAAGGGATTATAACCTTAAATAGGTCTGTGCCACCGCGCCCTTACTAATTGCACACGCATTGATGCAATGCATATCACGTCGCGGTCTGATTTTCGCTTGCAAGTTTCACATTTATCGCAATACACCCGTCCTTGGACGGGCAAAAGGCGAGTTACAGATTATGTTCTCAATGTGTGTGTCAAATATATACCGTGTCAGTGCGCTGTGTGTGCAGTTTGTGTGCATATGTGTATTATTGTTAATGTGCTATGTCTGCTGTTCCATAATAACATTGCAGTTATTCTTTTTCACGTTGTTTGTGCGTGTTACTGCCATTGTCCACAGGAGGGCTATGAATGGTGAGACATTCCAATAACAAATTAGCGCGATATTATTTATTTATTTACCGCATTTACATTGACCATGATACGTGCCCTTAAGAGGGACATAACGATGACATCGCCTTGCTCAGGGGCGCGTTAAACGCCTGCCTCTGGCTTCAACCACAACTCCCAAACCCTCCTCGCTGTTCAACTCCAGACTAAAGTCCATTTCTGCCATGCCTATGGCTCATTAATCAATTCTCCCTGCGTAACAGTCTGCATCTCTTACACGTCCCACTGCCCTTTGTGTGTGTTTCCTGGCCTGCTTGTTCTTGCGCTGTGCTACAATAATTGTCCTGTGTTATGATTTATTATTTCCCTTCCCCTTATGCTGACTGCCCCTTCCGTCCCTGTAGTGCACAGTGTTCTTAGTCGCTCTGCACTACACAATGTCCATGTTGCCCCTTCTACACACAACACTAATACTTGCAGTTGTGATTGTGATTAATCTGCTAAACACAAGAGTATTACGGTAATGCCCTAGCCCACTGTCCATCCACTGCTAGATGAGGCCTCCCCACGCCACGCGTGGGGGTTATTTGACCATACTTTCACCACCCTGGTCAGTGCGGGTTGTTTGCGGGGAGCATAGAAGTACAGTAAAATTGTTTTCCTACACTGTCATCTGCTTCCAACCAGATAATACCAGCGACCTGTGCATAGTGGTCGCCCATTCAACAACTATCCAGGCCCAACCCCGCTTAGCTTCCCACATCTCGAGAGATCGGGCGCATTCCGTGTGATTTCGGCACAGGTCTGCTACACGAACATAATACACAAACAGCCTTCTGCACGTATAGTCAGCTTATTTACCTTGATTGACATACACGCATGCTAGCTCCAGCAGTCTACATGGATATGGTGGGTGGAAATACCCCTGACTCTGTGTTGAAAGCTCACCTGGACCTACACAGGCAAATGGGTATAGGGACTTTCCGACCACCCACCGAATGACCTTCATGGTTTACTGTACCTAAATGAGCTGATGCATTATTCTCCTGCAACAATACATAATCACCTCCATTAGCTTATTTTGTATGTCTTGAGATGTAATAACTGCATACAGCATTTGAAATGCGGATTTTTATTGTATGGTACAACATATGCTGCCTGTGAAATGTCACAGTCCAGGCCAGCCCACCCCACTTGCCCCCAAAATCGACCCTCCCTTCCCTCTGTCCACCAGCCCCCCGTTGAAACCTTGTACCCCTAATCCCTGTACCCCTAATCCCTATACCCCTAATCCCTGTACCCCCATAATCCCACTCAATGGACCGTATTCGCTCTCGTTAGCCGATGACGATAATAAGCACATTCACCTAGGCCAACATCTTACTCATTACCTCCCTCTCTTTACACCACCTACCACCACTACGCTATACATTCTCCAAGGCTTGTCATTGTTAAATATGAAGTTAAACTAGTATTACTAATATTGTATTATAACAACCACGAACGCCTTCATAACGAGCCCTTTAAAGTGAGATTGACTTTACACCTTACAAATAGAGCCATGAAGATCACAGGGCATGATTGGACTGATGTGAATATTTTAAAATGTACCCGTGCTTATAGTTCAACATTCAATAATGTGGAGAGACTGCGTTGGCACCGGTGCAGGAGCGCAAAATCACAAAAAACCTAAACATGTTCGTCAATAACACTGCGACCTTAAGGGGAATATATACGTAATAGTCAACGTTTCTGGCAATGGTCCTTCTTCACAACATAATCTCTCTGGCCATTCACTGGCCACTCTATGTGCTATGAAGAAGGATCATTGCCCGAAACGTCGCCTGTTATAGAAGCTGTCATTCACCGTCGGGCAAAAGGTGAATGGTGGGCGGGGCCAAACGGGGAGGGGACGGGGTTTTGGGAGGAGCCAGCACGGACAGGGGCGGGGCCACTATAAAGTGGGCGTAGACTAGACCGCAGTGTCTAGGGCGTGGCGATAGCCCCAGGGAGCCGGGTCGGCTGCGACCCGATTGGCTGTTGGGCAGGCAGGGAGGCGGCGCCGCGCGTGCCAAGTTGCTGCCGCTTCCTTGGCGCGGCGTCACTGGCACGTGCGCGGCGACACGTGCGGTGCACTCGGCGTGCAGCGGCTCGCACAGACACAGAGCCCGGCTTACGCAGCTCACGGGGATGCGACGGCCGAGGGTACGTGCTCAGCATAAGGCGTCTTGCTTGACATCTGTACAGCAAGCAGCAGCAGCACAAGCCGGCTAATGCCGAGTGCCCGATACTGTCGGGAGTGTACCAATATTGGTTGTTTGGCTGCTACGGCGACGACTGCTGCTGCAACAATCGACTGCCGCTCTCTCCTCATTGCCAAGAGGCTGCGAAGACAAAACTGGGATTCTTTTTCCGGCAAAAGGCTCAACGTTTCTGTGTGCAGGTGAGTGAGTGATTGATACAGAATTCCAACTGACTTTCACGATCCTTGTTTACCATTGCACCTAATACAGCCCTGCTATCAATCCACTGCTGGATGAAGGAAATATAATCCCGCGCGGTTTCGGCTGGTTATTTGACCATACAGTACAGTACTTAACTTCACCTGGTCAGTGCTGGTTAGTGAAGATGGTTAAGGCATAGACGTGTGAGCATAGCAGTATAGCCTCATACTTGTTTGAGTTGAACTATCTTCCGCCCACCAACCGCCACGTAACCTATACCACCTGTTATACAATGGTGGTAATTTCCATGAAATCGTCACAACACCTTCATTGTTGTCAACTTCATGGTGACATAATCGGTGTCACGCCCCGTGCGATGGACTTTAGACACACCAAGGCAGGCACGTGTACAGATGGGGATTGCTACTGTCTGACGTGTTCTGTTCACGTCCTACGCCCACGTCTCTATGTCCATGTGAACTGTGATGGGCTGTTTGTATTATTTGTACATGTGAGTGCCTATTTGTTGTGTTTGTGAAGTTGCAGCGTATGGGCTATAAGTATGTGATTTGTGCATATTCCGTAAGTACAGTAACTGTACGTGTGCAATATGTTATCTTAGTTTGTGCACATGCATGTGTGTGTGTATATGTGCACATTATACAACACACTACGTGCTGGGAATGTCTGTGTTGTATGTGTGGGTGTTGTGAATGTGTTGGGTGCCTTCTGTGCTCGTGAATGTGTATTTTCTGTGTGTTGTTCATGTCTCTATGCGTCTGCTGTTTGTGGTGTGAATCTGCATGCGTTGTACGTATGTGAATGGTGTCTATGTTGTATGTGCTCTCTATGTTGTGAATGTGTTTTACATGTCACAGTTTATGCCTTTTATATGTACCATATGTGCTTACTGTATGCCTAATATGTGTTATGAATGTAGTTGGTTTGGCACTGTATACCAGAATTGGTGTCAATACGTTATAAGCTGTCCATGTGCGCTCTGCACCATTGGCCTGCACCGTATGTTGTCAATGCATGCGCTTCTCTCTGTAGGTATGTGCCTGCTAAATGTGTGTGCTCTGAATGCAATTACTGAACTGAATTGTAAATGTGCTCAATGCCCATGTGCGCTCTGATATCGCGTTGAGTCTCCATATGTTGACGAGTCGTGTGTGTGTGCGCACACGTTTGGTCGTTTGCTTTGAATATGACGGATATATGATGGATGTGTTGTGTGCTTTTTGCATTGCTGTAACTTTATGTGTATTGTGTGTATGTGTGTGCTTGTGCGTCCTGTGTATGTAGTGTGCGGGCTGTGTGTGTGTGCTTGTGTGTGCTGTGTGTGTGCTATGAGTGTGTATTGTATGTGACATGAATACGTGTCTCATCTTTGCTTTAAGTATAACACTGCATGGCAGAGTATGTGTTGTGTGCAGAACGTGATGTGCTGGAAACAATGCGAACATAAATGTTTATGCTTGCGATAGTGGGCGACAAGTCCCCATACCCTCTTCACCTCTATAAATAATATTCTCCACAAAACAGGGGTATAGGGACTTCACGACCACCTTGTATGTTCAGCAATTTTTAAACATTGTATGTGCTGTATTGTATTTTGCTAGGGTGTGTGTGTGACTCCCCTAGGTCGACTTAGCCTCAAATGAATACCTGGTGCAGTTTATAAACATCGCCACTAGGGAGACAAAGGCGGCCGGGCGTGGTGCTGGCCACCCACCCCCTCGTGTGCCGTGCCGGGCTTCATAGGTGCTCGCTAACAGCACTTGCCCCTACAGTCTGTTAAGGTTATTTGGGGGCTCTTTGTCTAAGTCCAGCATATCCACGTTCATCCCTTTTGTTATTCCACTGCTGCACGAAGAACTTATGCCGTGGGTGGTTATTGCCGAAGGTGGTTACCATGGCCATTAGAGCACAGAAGTGGAGTTCAACAATGTGTTTGTCTGCAGTGCCTTCTTGCTGTCAAACCACAACACCTGCTTAGTTTCAGAAATATGATGAGATCGGGTGCATTCCGGGTGATTTGGTCATTTGCTAAAAGTTTATATTTGGAAGTGTTAAAACTTAGAACATTACAGCCTACACAGCGTCCAGATCAACGCTCATAACTCTTCGATGAAAGGGATATGGGTAACGCATAGTCAATGTTGAATCATTACCCTTGTTGTGTCTGGTGTGTTTTAAGGTTAGGTTAGGATGAGGTTTATTGGTGTGGCGTGATTTGACAAGTGTCCAGGGCTGGCGTTTATTTTTACGCAAGTCGTGTACATGGTGCTTGTACTCTTCGTCAACTTGAGTCACCTCATTTATCCATAAAACGTAGCGCGTCCTCGTCCAAACACACGCAGGGACAGTTCTGGAGCACGCCACCCGGACGTGGGGGTTGCCACCTGACTCATTTGGTAATCTTAGGACATTAAATAGTTCCTGCCTGCTATGGTCAGTGTAATAATCATGATCGTTAGACACCACTCAAGACGATGCATTCACACGCAGTGGTCTCCCCTGTTCTGTAATTGTGATAAAACCTTCGTCCCATAATGTGGCCCAGTTTTTGTTATGAGTACTGATGTGGCATTTTTGCTTACAACAAAAATTCACAAATGTCAGCAGCATGGGTTGACTTCCCCCAGCACACGAAACCCAGTGACGTCTATACGCCAACGCCTGGTACTCATTTAATTATGTGCCGAGTTTATTTCTCTACCTTTACCATAAGAATGCCAGTTAACCTTCTGCAACACATTGCTTAGCTCCCCCAAACTGTGTACACAGGGCATTTACAAGCGAAGCCAAGCGCCCGCTGTCCTGGTGAAAAGTACCACCACAGTAGCCACACGGTCACTGGTAACTTGGCAACGTTTGCCGTGGGGTGATTGGTTTGTTTACTTGGAACATTACTGTTTGGTGGCTGCGACCGGGTCTCGAACCTGGTTCGGAAGTTAATAGGCTAAGCTGGTCGGACCTGTTGACTGTCACACTCGATACGCGTTCCCAGGACAAGCGAACGGCGCGGTAATCTGAGCCAAAGTGCAAACCATTCTCTGGCAGCTGTTGCTCTTAAGGTTTCAGAACACTTGGGTGCAAACGGTTTGCATTTGCTGCAGGAAATATGTTTCCCTGGTGCCAGAAGTAAAGCGGTGTTTTTGGTTTTCAAGCCGTGAATATGCTACATAAATGTATTGTAAATAAAATATAAAATTGTTGAAAGCCAAGATGCATTGTGGGTGGATCACGGGTTTAGCCAGCCCGTTTGCACTGTGGTTAGAGTAAGCAACTCAGATGGAAGTTTTCTAATTTCAAAGCTTAGTTTGAGGTCTGATCAGCCCTTCATCTCTCCGGGGTCAATTAAATGAGCATTTCTCTTTGGAGAGTCAACATAGGTCATCATGATTGACCCTCACCAATGTTCTGGGCAAGGCTGCCAATGGAGATACACTGACCCATTGCTTGCTTCAACAGGGAAACTCTCTAATGTTTTAATAATATTTCTATATTGTCATTCATAATGTTTATATTGTGATGTACGGTATGTGTGCGGCGCTAGGAATACCTGTTCTTTTTCAAATGCACAACCTAATGCAGTACAGTAGTGCTGTATATTCTTGAGTAAACACCTGTCCACAATACACCCAGTTTCGCAAACACATCCATAACCAGAAGAGTCTACAACCGAGTCTACACACACACTCACACTACATACAGCATAAAATACAAAGATTCCCCACGTAGCCTTAACAGGCTGATGGGATAAGGGCTGTTAGAGAGCACCTCAGAAGGCCGGAAAGGCACACAAGGGGTGGGTGGCTAGCACCACGCTCGGACGTCTTTGTCTCCCTAGTGGCGATGTCTACACATCGCACCAGGTACTCATTTGAGCCTCAGTTGACCTGGGGGAGGCCCAGGACCAGTTAAGATATTCGTCATCGATGTGGGTTGTGTACGGGAATGGAACTCGGGGCGTCAGTTTCATAGCGCAATGCGCTAATCACTGCACTAGGCTCCCCACACGGACACTCACAGAAACACCCGGGTGACATGACGCATTTACCGTAGTTGTGTAGGATGCTGGACAAAAAGTGCTGCGAATGCTAGTACAAGCCGAATCTATCGACAGGAGGCCCAGGCGTGATTCAGATACCACTTGCCATGGTATTGTTTGTGTTTACGAGTTGAACCTGCCTTGCTGGGAAAGCTGCACAATGCAATGAATACACTAGAGGACTGCACCACATACGTAGTGGGACTGCTGGCAATATAAGTACAAATTGGGGCACAGCCAATTATTTAACAAAAGGAAAATTTTGGCTACATCAGGGAAACGGTAGTCATCATCCGTCCAAACTTTCCCCACCTTCGGACTGAAATAGCCACAGACCAACATATGTGCACATAGATGCAACACATGTACAAACCTACGTGCATACACCAAAACTCAACGTGAATCGTTTATTCCACTTTCAGAGGCATAATTTTATACGACCGTAGGCTGCCTGAATGCGTGGCCATGTGCGTTGTTACAAAAAAGTTCATCCAATGCTATCACCCACCCTCTCAGTGTCGGAACAAACACGTGTTCACGTTTAGTCACTTCCAACCACAGACAGAGCTAAAATTAACTGTTGGGGACCTGCAAATTGGGGGTTTGTATATTGACATCGCATGTCAAATGTGATTATTTCTAGGATTGGTACTATCGCGTGGGATTTCGCAGCCAAACATGATTCATGACACCTGTTTAAGAAGCCAGATCAGGGGACAAGGTACTTCTGACATTTCACTTTTGAAATGCTTGGTGCAGTTTGAAGTAATAAGTCGTATTTTATCGGTAAATTTGGTCATGATAACTGTTCTTCAAGTTGCTAGTGAGGTGAAATAAGTATAATGAATGCGTAAAATGCTTATATATGTGAACATTTAATGTTCGGTGGTGGAGGGCCTTATGGCACAATTTTGGCCAGATCATAATGGCCTAACCCAAAAATTAATTAGCATTTACATTCTTAGCAATACATTACATTCATTAAACATATTCAACACCACTCACCTTCAGTGCAATATCCCATGTCACCGCGGTTCTAACTTAATTGTGGGTGTAACAATTCACCGGCATGCGTCTGGGGGTGGAATTCCTTTCCAGCTCAGACCCTGCCTGCTTGCCCATCGCCACATATATAGCCTCCTTGTTGTAACAGCTCTCTCGTTAGTTCAGCAGTTCCACTGCTGGATTATATTTTTTCTGCCTGAGGACGACTGCTTGTGTTGCGATCGAAACGTCGTGATTTATTTTATTTTTCTACCTACGTGACTTTACCGAAAGAACCAAAGAGTATGGATTCCTGCAGTCACGAAAGCTTCAAATCTAGATTCAATTAATGATTGTTTACACGTGCGAGGAAACCAGAGCACCTGGAGAAAATCTGCTCGTACACGGTGCCATACAGATGGAACAGGTGGAGTCCATACTTGCTGTACTACATACTCATGGAAAGCCAGGGCATTGCCCCTCCTCGACGCCCATGGGAAGGGAGTTTCACAACATTTGTGTGGTGATCCACCAACCGTCGCCGCTGCCTCCCAAGTGATGGATCACAGGCACGCGCCACCGCCTCTTATGGATAGCACACAGATTCCTCACAACTAGTTATACTGGCCGTGGATGTTTCAATGGCTAATGCTATCAGTAGATTTGTATGGCTGCAAGAGCAGTGCAATACAGTCCTGAATCATTGACACGCTCAGGGTTATGGTGAGGGCTGCTGTATAGAGCAAGGTCACTCTCCCGTCGGCTGCTGGTGGAGACTGGAAGTGACATGGTCCTTGGGAACTATTTTCAGGTGCAATCGTGAACTGGTGATCAATACGCAACAATTTGGGGCCTCTTGATAACACTATTGGGACCACACTCACCCAAACCTAGACTGTACAATGTCCCGAGATGCTTTGAATAGAGCAAGAGCGCATTCATTGGGCATATTCTATAAAGATGTATGCTCCCAAACCCCAGCGGAGCAATGAATTGTCCTGATTCAGGGTTGCGATTGAATTCACACGTTTTGTTTTCTCCCTGCTACCTTTTTTAAATTTGTCCTCGGTGTTCTCTTATGTCTCGGTTGTCAGGTTCGTTCACTTAATTAGCCTACTTATTCAGATTACCGACCTAATTTTCGTAAATTGGCTCACGGTTCAAACCGTTTATCGTAATCGTCAAAATAGACTTTGATCAGTGCGTCGTTATTTACCTGTCATTGCCTGCTATTCACCATCGTTCTGAGAGTCACAGACACTGAAGCACAGTTCAAATCTAGTAAACATTCAAAGCACCTATCTTCTTAAATTATAAACTTGCAATGCTCATCTCTAAATTTCTACTGTGTCAGCCACTGGTGGAAATTCCACCTTCCTATAGTTGAGCCATGCACATCTTTGAATAGCCACCGTTGAGTTGCCACAAAGTTATTTTCGTGAAGCTGGAGGGGATGAATAGCTGCGCGAAATCTCCTCGCCAGGATGTGAACTCGACATTTCCTGATTGCGAGTCATGGTAACCACTGTGCCACCTGACCGGTTAAAGTTTATTAAATGGTAAAGGTGCAGCCCTGCAAGTGCTTGCTCACGCCCCTGCAGGCAGTAGGACTTCCACTAAAGGGACCTCTAGAGAGTATTTGGCCTTCTCTTCCGCACTGCCCAGACGTTTTGGAAGAAGTGAAAGTACCCACACTTTACCCCACCACATAGGACCTGCCCGTGATGCTCTCTATACTGCTGGGTGGACACAGGCAAGGGGATTTTAATAAACTTGCACCACTGTTGCAACTGCCGCGCCGGGAGATCGAACTGGTGACCTTTGGATTGCAGGTCCAGTGTGCTCACTATTGCGCCATGGCCACTGTCCCATGTTTATCACGTGTTACATTATATTATTCATGTTCGTAACTCAAACGTAGTTTCCACAGACAGACAACTCGAGTCGACTTGAGCGCACTTTGAGTTGGCCTTGTTTCTCCCGCAGCTCGAGTTGATGGACAGGTCGGGTTGATGGACAGGTCGGGTTGGTGGACAGCTCGAGTTGATGGACAGGTCGGGTTGGTGGACAGGTCGAGTTGATGGACAGGTCGAGTTGGTGGACAGGTCGAGTTGGTGGACAGGTCGAGTTGATGGACAGGTCGAGTTAGTGGACAGGTCGAGTTGGTGGACAGGTCGAGTTGATGGACAGGTCGAGTTGATGGACAGGTCGAGTTGGTGGACAGGTCGAGTTGGTGGACAGGTCGGGTTGGTGGACAGGTCGAGTTGATCGACAGCTCGAGTTGGTGGACAGGTCGAGTTGGTGGACAGGTCGAGTTGATCGACAGGTCGGGTTGGTGGACAGGTCGAGCTGGTGGACAGGTCGAGTTGGTGGACAGGTCGAGTTGGTGGACAGGTCGAGTTGGTGGACAGGTCGAGTTGGTCACGAGAGAAGCCATGCTCCCAAGAGTTTCCTTCCTAGATTTTAGAATTGTCACGTGACCCAGGCTGGCCACTGCCCCAGGTGTAAAGTTAAATGGCTCCCTCCTAGTGCATTCCTCTTTGTCCAGTGATGCATTTCCATTTGGCTCACATTTGGATTTAGAATTCAGGCAAGCACCGAAGAGTTACATTTTCTCGGAGAGTTTGGGCTCCTACTCGAATTGGCAGCCAGCTAGATTTGTCCAAAAAACATAGAAATGGCGAGTGGTAGGGAGGTAGTTAGCAGGCAACATGAATTGGGTATTAGAGATCATTCCCATTTGTATTTCAAACTCTGTACAGCATTTGCATCTTATAAGATATATTAAAAGAAACAGCCAGCCATCCTTGTCTTTAAACAAGGCTTGAAAGAGCAACTTTCGTTTTGAGAGTTTTTCGTAGAAGTAATTCAAGGAGTCCTGTGTTGTTCTTTTCTGTCTAGAAGTACTGTGCTGTAATTGTGTCTACAATATATATGTGGTGTAGGTCATTTACCGAAAGGACCACCTCTAAATTCCTCTAACAGCCTCAGAAGTGCTTCTTTATTCCTGCTAAAATTCGTTTTGCCAAAACTTTGTTTGGTAAGAAGTATTTCCCCGTTGGTGCTCCACGTTTCTGGAATCCCCTCTCATCTACAGCTTGGTTCCCTCTCTTCACTCTACCTCTTCACTTCCCTTTAAACCAAAACACAGAGGTGACTTACTAATGTACTCATCTTTCTCTGGTGCCTCTTACTCCCACATGTTTGCACTGTCTTTTTCTATTTGCTGTGAGACTAATATATAGAGCTTATTTTCACCTGCACCTAACTTTTTCATATTACATTTGCACTGTTTTTGATTTGCGTGTGTTTCATTTACGGTCGTTAAATACCTCATTTGTTAGTTGTGCAACATTCCTTAAGGACCCTGATTTAATTTTCTGCAATATCGATGTTTTTGTCTTTTTTGTTATTGTTGTTGTTGCTGTGCTCATGCACGCGGATCTCCCGTGTACAATAGCCAGGAAACTGGATAAACGGGACCATCCATGTAACAAATAAATTAAACTTAAACTCGCACGTTGTCAGTGTTGGCTGCTGTTCTCTGACATTGTCATAACTCTGCGGACTTGAGAAGCATCGACGATGGCAGACTCTCTCCAGTTTGTGCGGTGAAACACATCAAGGGGTGACCCAGTGGCTCAAGCGGGGGTCTTCGTCGCCCACAATGGCCATGTCAGATTACGCAGCCAGAATCCCTTAGGTTTTAGGTTCAAATTCTAGATAGCCACTTGTAATTAAACGAGATTCTCAGATGTTTTCAATTACAATTGTCGCATAAATTAGTCATTGAGATTTTCCTGGTTATATAAAATGCGTTATTTTAATATTCCGTAACTTTGTGTTAACTTCGTCATGCTGAGCTCAGCAATAAGGGGGCTAAACTCAGTATTTTCTATTTAATCAATGATGCTCAGTGACCAACTCCACAAGGCATGAAGCAACATCATCTCGTGTTGCTTAAGACGGCGCTATTATTGCAGTTCCGTGATTGTGCTGTTTAGCTGTCTTGTGTCGTTCAGCACGATGTCCGACGTTTCTCTCCACGTGCTGGGAGCTTCCTCAGGAACTCAGTGGAGCAGATCACACCAGCAGGGGCTCCCAGCACATGGAGTGAATCGCGTCATGCCGAACAACATGCGGCACAACACCTGCAAACACAACCACAGAGCTGTGTGTTTTGAGTCGTTTGTTGGTGGGAGTTGCTGGAGCTGTTCTCCGATGCTGCGCTCCGTCAACCGTGGGGAATTCCACGAGGTCGTTAATATGCCTCACGCCGTGACTCCAATGGCTTCACTGATAAAAACACAAAAACGTCAAAAATACATTACGGGCGTGCAGCAGTTGTTGTAAGGCAGCGACGTAGTGGCTGCCTTACAAGTAAGCGCTCCCAAACCCTCTAACACTCTCTCTGACTCTGTCGTTTAATTTGCAGCTCGCCAGGATGTGCAAGAGTGAGAGAACTGCAAGATTGAACTCAAGCAGCCACAATCGAAATGCCACTGTACGCTCACCTCCCACAAATGTCAGCCGATTAATTAAACCGTAGCCATCTCTGCCTTGCGTGATATTGTAGGAAGACCTCACATCTCCACCTCCGAGAGTTCTTCAACGTGATTCCCATACCGTTTGCAAGACAAGTTCTTCCCGGAAGACACGTGACTCGGTGAGACTTCAGGACAGTTCTGCTGATCCTAAACAGGGAACGTCTTCACCCAGACATCCGTACGCAGAAGGAAATAACACCTACGACTGCGGCACCTCGCTACCTGTGTGCTGGATGCTTGGCCAAAGGTAGAGGAATTACCAGCAGCTTGCCCAGTGAGAGTGAGTTGGCTTTCGCCCATTCTTTTTTCAACACCCAGTGCCTTAATTCCCAAACTTAAGGCGGGTGCCACGTTATTGAGCGACGCCGAGACGCACGGGCTCCAGGACGTCTCGCGAGACACGGAGACAGAAGATTGAGAAGCGAGTTGTGGTGGCGCGAGAGCGAGAGGTGTGGAAGCGGCGGTGCTGTTGTGGGAGGGAGAGGGAGTGTGGCGCTGGGGCCTGGAGGCCACCGAGCCTGCTGCCAGTCTCCTATGAGTTGGCGCGGTCGCCATGAGCAGCGGGTATTGCACGCTGGAGGAGGGCCTGGAGATTGAGCAGTTCTACACAGCCAAGGGCACGCTGCCCACGAGCACCAAGAGCTGGGAGCACGCGGCGGTGGAGCAGGCTGGAGCATCAGAAAGAGTGAGTGACTGTGTGCATGTGTGTATCCTTGTGCCAGGCCTGGCACAAGCGTCGTGGTGACGTCACCGCCACTTAGTGGCGAATGGCGGTTGTTGTTGTATCCTTGTGCGCTACGAGCCCTGGGAACCGGGTTCGATTCCCACTCGTGGTCAATACCAGTGACGATTATCTGAACCTGTCCTGGGAATTACAAGCACGTTGCACATCTGTGCACATCTGTGCGCGTGTGTGGACATTTGGTATCTGTGCTTCTTTACAAATGCTCGCGTGCGTCGATGGAACTGCACAAGGGGGGAGTGGCAACGTTGTGTTAGTAGCACACTGCAACTCCTTCCTTCCGCTCGGGTTCAATTCCTGGCTATACACTCCACCTGTGACATTCGTGGCAAATATACACTTGTCTCTAACCTCCCATAACAAAAAGCTCAACACATTTGTCAATTAAACTGGCCCAAAAGAGAAAAATGTCGAATATAAAGTGACATTTTTTGCAAAAACTCATTATTTTTGCTATGAACAACATCCCTTGCCAGGAACGTCCCTGCAGGTTGACTCAGCCCCACACAGGTACCCGGCGTGGCGTGTAGACATCAGCCCTTGGAATACCAAGGCAGCTCAGCACACTGCTGCCTATTGCATCTTCATGTGTGCTGTTCTGGCCTCAATAGGCTCTCAAAAGGTCCTCAATAACAGGGTTTGATCCACCTGTCTCCTTGGTCTATAGGGGCTAACGAGGGATCATTGATCGTGGTGACTCTCTTCGCTCAGCCGGGGTGCGTGTGGTGCAGCTGTCACTCTTCCCAGGCTTATTGAGCTGCACTCGTATCTGTCCCGTGACCTACTGGAAAACCGCGGCCTACATGGCCGCAGACCGCACCTATCCTGGCACGAGTGCCATGGTGATGTTACTGCAACTTAGTGGTGAATAATGGCAATTGTGCTTGTGTGAGTGTGTCTAACCAATCATAAAAATCAGTGGCAAATGGTATGTGAGTCACTTATTGGCCTCTCCTAGGTTTACCCAGCCTTAAATGAGTACCTACATTCAACATTGTGTCATTCATAACAAGTCATTTACTATTCAATCTACTGAGGAAGGATCCCCGACACCTTTTATCATTGGGGGTTATTTGACCATACTTCACCTAAATGGTCAGTTGTGAGTTAGTGAAGTGGGCCACTTATGTTAGCAGTGGCCAGGGAGTCCAACTCAGCTCGTCGGGTTCAGAGTACACCAGCGCTAACCATTGTGCCACCAATCCACCGATTGTAAACATTAGCAATGGAGAGACCAAGGTGGCTGGGCATGTGACCACACAGCCGTCCTTGTGCCACTCTGGTCTTAAGATGTGCTCTCCAATAGCGCTTGTTACCGGCTGTATACAGCTGTGTGTGTACACATTGTGTATGTGTTCTATACGGCTGTGTGTGTGTGTACACATTGAGTATGTGTTCTATACGGCTGTGTGTGTACACATTGTGTATGTGTTCTATACGGCTGTGTGTGTACACATTGTGTATGTGTTCTATACGGCTGTGTGTGTGTACACATTGTGTATGTGTTCTATACGGCTGTATGTGTGTGTACGCATTGTGTATGTGTTCGTGTGCACGGCTCTCTTAACGTTGTGAGGTTAATTTAAAAATAAATCACTCCGGCTGGGGAAGCGTGGGCTGTGTAGGTGGGACGGCACACCGGTGGTGAGACTGCACACAAATGGCTTTTCTCACTAGCACACCTACGCATGTGTAAAGACAAAGATCCCCCATGTAGCCTTTAAGAGACTCGGGGGTAAGTTTTGTGAGCGAGCATCTATTAAGGCCGGCACAGCACATGAGAGGGTGGGTGGCCAGCACCACGCCCGGTCGCCTCTATCTCTCTAATGGTGATGTTTTATACACCACACCAGATAGCACAGTACTCGTATACAGCTGAGTCAACCCAAGGGAGGTCCAGAACCGGTTCAGATAATCGTAACTGGTTGGTTTTGGCCCGCAGAGAGAATCAAACCTGGGTTTCTGGGTTCTAAAGCGCAGTGCGCTAACCACTACACTACCGCTCCCCGCATACATACACACATGCACGCACACACAGACGCTCGCACTCACGATACAGCCTCATAAAAGTGCACGCTTGAGCAATCTCCCATTGCAGCCTCGGTTATTTTTCTTTTAGAGCAACGCTTTTGCAATTGGACGTGGGAGAGTGCCCTTGCACATCTTGTAATATCTCCCCACTCGTCAAGCCTGATAAATTAAAAGAATAATCTTGACGTGCAGCAACGAAACTTGTGCATGCCGCCCCTGAGCCTCTCCTCCCATCTGCGCGCCCCCCCCCCCCCCTGCAGGTCATGGATGTGGCCGAGTCGTCGCGGCCACATCCATGACGGCCACATCAGCCGGTCACGCTTGCAGCGTACCAGAGTAGCCCTGGGGTAATGTTTTCTCATGCCTTCATTACCTGTACGGATAGACGGTCTGGTGTTATACGTCATTATAAAGTAAACATTTGGGCCGGGTTTGTGTTTGTGACTTCCATTGTGCGCTAACGAGGCTAATCGTGTTAATGTAATAAGTGGTTTCTTTTGTTTTTATCTTAACCGGTTCTGGGCCTCCACTAGGTCGACTCAGCCTCAAATAAGCACCTGGCGCGGTGTGTAAACATCGCCACTGGGGAGACAAATGCGGTCGGGTGCGGTGTCTGGTGAACAAGCACCTTGTGTACCGTGCCGGCCTTCATAGGTGTTCACATTGCGTGTATGTTTGTTGAACCTCTTTCGTACCGTACGTAGCCAACGGTGATAATTGGAGATACTGGGGAAGAACAACAAAGTAAACACTAAAACCACTTTCCCCAACAGTCTGTTAAGGCTATATACGAGGGATTTTTGTCTTTGGGAGTAGAGAAGACATGGGCTCAATGCGGACGGGCGTTATTGACGTGCATTCTGGTAGCTCTGTGTGTCGGTGCGTTGTGAGTTAACGCGGCAAATGTGCGAAATGGAATTTTGTTTCCAGAAGGTGAAAGGTGGCTGAGCCCGATGTGGCTGAGATCCTGAGTCTATGATTAAACGGGGTCCTCACGTTTAATGAGCTGATGGTCTCAGCCTGCCTATGACCACACAGAAGAAGCATCGTATAAAATCAGGTGGTTATTAATTTGGATAATATTAGCTTTTGGGAATAAAATGTCACGTTTGATTGCCATATGACAAGCGCACTCATCTCCAGAGATCTAACTGGGTTCCACCGCAGTGGATGAGCGCAGTGACCCCGGAGGAACATCTCTGACCTCTCGTTCTGGGGCCGCTGTGTGGCACACAGAGGTGCACTGCTCACGGCGCGAGTTCTGGATCGACTCCTTACACGCGCCTCTTCATATGATGCCGATTTCACACTTGGAATGCACTGTAATTGTGGGAAATCAAAACATAATAATAGAACAAAACAACACAGTATGTTGATTCCACATTGGCAGTGGTATACTGTACACACAATCAACAAAAAGGCACTTGCCAGTGACGCTGCTCTACAAGGACAGAATATACAACAGGCAACATTCGGGCATTGGCCCTCTGCTGTGATTTATTTTTAATAAGAGCCGGTACAACTGATAAATGAACGGCAAAGATCCCCCGTATTGCCTTAACATACTTTTGGGGCAGGAGCACACACACACACGAAGCACACCATACACACGCGTGCGCGAGCACACACAACCGAACAGATTATTCCATGTAACCGCGGCATGGAACGCGCTCACACTTTTTTAAAGGCACTGAATAAACTTATCAGCAGGTGCGTGGAAAATATTTACGAATGTTTCCTTGTGAAGATGACACGTCTCACACTGCGGATCGCGGGAGCCCTGGGGACGCACGCGAGCGACGCGGCTCCTTTCCCATCGCCTGGCACGGAGCGGAGCATCTCCGTGGCGTGCCCTCACGTGTTGATTGAAGGCGCGCTCCTGGAAATTAGCTTCTCATGCGGCGGCTCTGTGTTCTGTGTTTTAGGCCTTGTGCTTAACGTGGAAAGTGAGCCGGGACGATTACCTGCCTCAGCTCTCGGGTCTCGCTCGAAGTGCTGCCCCCTTCTTTGCCTTTTATTCGAAATAAGCCACGCGTCCCATTCATCTGCGGTTTCTGCGTGGCTGCAAAAAGGAATGTAGAATTTTCACCGCTGGTTCAGGAGCGTCAATTTGGCATATGGCCGGATTGCGCTGTGGCAAAGCATCCCGATTCAGAATCAGGAGGCTGTCGGTTCAAACTTTGGCATGGCCAGAACATCATTCGTTCTTTCCAGTATCGACAAAATATGTCAACTTTACCAAACTGCCCAATGCCTATTTGCCTAGGCCAACTTTAGTGGACTACACTTGGCTGATGAGACTAAAGAAGGTTCACACCGGTTCAGAAATTAGCTGCTTCTAAAACCCCAATGCTGTTGGAAAACATTTGTCTCGAAGGCTCATAGTTTGATGGACTGAAATGTGATTTTATTTCATGGAGTGAAACAGACACTAGTTTCTATTAATTATTCGAGAGGTGTTCTATAAAAGAGGCCCGTCTGCCAGCAATGGCATGGGCAAGCGATTGCAGGGCTTCACCTTTACCGACCCACCAAAGGCCCAGGCCATGGTCACCGTGCCACACACCGCCCTGGGTGTTGGTTGAGGCCGGGGCGAGTGCCGGGGCGAGTACTCGGCGATCACCCCCCGCTCCCCACCGCTGTTTCACCGATCGGCCCAGGGCCGCCATCGTTGTTTTTAAGGAGCAGGAAAAGCTGTCGGCCGTAAGGGAAGAGTGTTTTTTTAAATTCCTCCCTCAATTGTTTTTGCACAACAACACAAAGGTTATGCTGGGAGCAAATTACATAAATGCACAAGAGCACTTAAGTTCAAGATGTTCGTGGCAGGCTGCGCAATCACAGTATTAAGCAAATCGAGTAACAAGGTGTGCAGACAATGGTCTGTGTACATTGTGCACTTAGGGTGGTAGTAT